CAGTAATGAATGATGCAAGCAAATGTATATTGCAATAACACAAAGAAAAAAAAAGTTCTAAATTTTTCAGAAATGTAAGTTTTTTTCAAAGTAAAAAATTTTTATTTAAAATTTTCCATATTATGTCCTATATTAGATTTGAGTCATTCTTGGTTTAGTCTCTGTTAAGTTGTTCTGTTGACACAGTAAATGAAAGCATGTACAGGACATCTTTATTTTAACAGAAGAAATTGTGCCAAAAAGTATGTTAAAACATTGCAATGATATTGCAGTACAAGACAGTTGAATATTGGATCTTTTTCTCATATCGTGCAGCCCTGCTCTGAGAAAAGCATAAGAAATGGTTGTGTCCTTGGGCTAGACACTTCACCCTCTAGTGTCTTTGGATCATGAATGAGTGTGAGTTTAAGAGCACAAAAGTGCTGCTTATGTGATAGACGACCTAGTTTCTGATGCAGTATACTGCTACTATTGATCCTACGAACTACTTCTTATATGATTATTACCAGTGGCGACTGGTGAATAGAGGGCGCACGTGTGCCACACTCCCTACCTAGATGAAAAAAAATGATAAAGTCATTATTTTGAACAAGGCTATATGTTTCAAATTTCGTTGAACACTGAACGTGTATCAGCATAGAAATATTTTTATCATGTTAAATCTGCTCATTTAACTTTATTTGGTCTTTATAAAAACAAAAACAAAAAACCCAAAATGTTATGATTCATGTCATGAATGTTCCAGAATTCACTCACTGAGTTGCAGAGTCTGCACTAGCACGGAGAGGCCGTTACTTGTACTGCAACTATTACTACTCTGATACTGTTTTACAACTACAGCCCAGGTAAAACACAAGATTTACTGGAAATCACATGTGCTGCAAAAGTGAAACTGAAACTACTTAATAAAAAATAGGTTTTAACTTTTAACTTTTTCTTACTTTCTTTTTGTTTGTTTGTTTGTTTCTTTCTTCTTCTTTGTCCATTTTAACATCTAAAATTAAAAAAAGGTTAGTTAAGTGTGAGAATGATACACTCTTTGAGGTAAAATATGTTATCAGGCAGGAAAAAGGTTAAAGTCTGAGCTTCCTGTTTTGGGTATATAAAGCTGGGTGAAGTAATTTCTACACCAGAGGACCCACTGCTCACTGATTAAGTAAGTATTCTGAGTAAGTATTCTGTTATTTTTCATGTCTTTTGTAGCAGAATATACCATGTAATTGCTATAATTCTTTCATGCATTTCAGTTGTAATTAGCTTTGTGTATAATTTGAACTGAACTAACAGCTGACTGACTAACTATGAACTAAACCCCAGGAATCTCATGAGAACATTTCAGAACAGAACAGTTTGTACATTTTTAATAACAGGGTTAGTATTTTTGAAATGGATGCAAGCGGAAGCAAAGTGAAGCAGATATAATTTTTTTTCAGCAATTAACTAATGAGCAGATCTAGATGCAAATGGTTTTACGACATTATAACAAAAAATTAACAACAATTTTGAATTTCCAAGTTACACATATTTGCTTCTCTGTTAAAATGGATGGAAATATAGTAACCTCAAAATTGTATTTGAACTTGACAAAAACTATAATTTATAATGAAATGTGTAATATATCTATAGGTGAATTTCAAACTGTAGTGGGCTCAACCTTTTTGTAAGGCTTTGTAAATTAAAATCTTAAAATCTGGATGTTTCCTTTGTCAGAAATGCTTAGTGTCTATCATTGTCTCTTCTTAAATTAACAAATAGCGTAAACAGGGCTCTGACATCACTCAAATGTATCTGAGAAGTTTTCATTTGTCAAATTTACCTTGATTTTTATTTATTTTTATTTTTTTTTATAATATTCTGTAATTAATCCCAGTTTCCCCCTTAAAATTATATTCTGTTCCACTTTACTTTTGTCTCCAGCAACCTCCATTTAGAAAATTTGAATGTTTTGTTTACACATTAAAGAGTCAATTAGATATAATATTTTATTATTTGTAGAGGACATTATTTTACTTATGTAGTTTCCAAGTAACGTTCCCAGTCAAGTTGTAACATACCAGCAAAAAATGTGTGTTATACATTGAAGATACTGCAAATAGTAGATAGTTTAAAAGAAGACTAATGAAAACAAATGGTTGAACTTGTACACAACAATGAGACAGGACAAGCACGAGACATAAGGCATACGGGTACATGCCCTGACAGGCACACAGCAAAACAAAGAAGAAGAATTACATTAACTATGGTCATAGGTTTGATTCTCAGCTAAATAACTCAAGTCGAATCACATTTTTGATTGTGACTGAATGCGACCTAATTTCATTTATAACAGAAAAGAGAGACTGGTTGATTAAAATAGTTCAAAGTCTAAATTGAAGTAGAAATGGTGTTTACTTTTAAAAATTATGTAAATGGAAATTAGACTGTTACTTGGAAGCCAAACATTTTGAGCTAAAAGCCTTCCTTATTACTTTATATTTTTATTGATTTACTTTTTGTTTTGTCAAATTAATCAATATTTAAAATGACAGGATTACTTATAATGAGTGTTAAAAAGTACTTCTATGTATGATACTGACTAGAGGCTGTATCTGTGTTTATGAAGGGAGATAAGGTAGACTTTATTGTCCTTGTAAGAAATGTGTCCCTGGAGCAGTCGGTGACCTCAGTGCAACTTTTCATGTTTTAACTCTATTCTTTTTTCAGTTTTCATCTGAGGCCTGTACGAGGCACAACCCAGAGTCAAAATGGAAAAGGATGACGGGTGAGGACGCTTTTAATCTCATCTTAAAATAAATGAGCTTTTATACTACTTTGGACACAGTGGTGAAGTGTTTGCTGTAGTATAAAGGGCCTGTAATGTATTATTTTCTGATCTATGTTATAATGTTGTTTTCTCATCGCAAACATACGCAGACTTGTGTTTTGTTTCATTGCACATGTTTAACACACAAATCCTCCATATTGAGACTGAGTTCTTCTTTCAAACAAAACACATGTAATACAGAAAGTGCTCCACTGTATTATTAAACTCTATACACCTTCACTAGAATTTTAATCATTTGGATTATTTCAGTCCTGGAATTGCCCATCTTGAATGAACTAAAGGTAAAAGGAGATGATAACTTGAAAACTTACGTAACAGATAATACTCCCTACAACTGTACAATAGCTCTCCCTTATGTATGTGTCCTGTCAATCATCATATCATTGTTGCACGGTCTTCCTATGACCAGCTGATTTTATATTTTATTACTTATCTTTCTATTTTGTTTTTACTTGTACATTTACATAATTAAGTCTTGTTTGACACCTGTCTGTTGTGATCTTTTTTCGCTCCTTATTTAGAATTTATTATTACCATTTATATTTTTTCTCTCTGATATTATATTGTATTGTGATGTGTGAGCTACTGTGTCCAAATAATTTCTCTTGTGGATCAATGAAGTTTGTCTAAATCTAAGTCTAAGTCTAAAACTACCACTTTATGACATCACAAGGTGGCAAAGAGCATTTTGAACTTTGTAGATGTAGATAGACTAATTATGCAGCTTAAACGTGTGAATGAAACCAAACACAACTCAAGAATCCACGTATCATTCCATCATTTATTTTTCAAAATAAAACCAAAAATAAAAGAGAGAGAGAGAAAAAAAAATATTTTCTTTATTATTTATCACCAAAACCAAAATGAAAAAATTACAATGATTTGTTTTTTTCAGTTTTTGATTTTGTGTTTAAATGAATAATGGAAAAACTGCCAATAACGATCGTTTCCCACTTCTGTGATTTAAACTGAAATGCCGGACTTTTGCACTGCAAACTGACTGAACCAGGACTAACATCAGGACTAAACCAGGACTAAACCAGGAACTAAACTGGTCTCAGTCCTGGTCTGATCCCAGTCTCAGTCCTGGTCTCAGTCCCGATCTGGTCCTGGTCTCAGTCCTGATCACCCAACAGTGTACGCAGGCGCAACTCCGGGCCCGTCCTGGTTTAGTCATGATTTAGTCCTGGTGTAGTCCTGTATTAGTCCTGGTTCAGTCCTGGTTTAGTCCTGGTTCAGTCCAGCATCACAGTTTAAGTCAAAACGGACATGATCTGTTTTGCATTATTCATTTAAACACAAAATCTAAACCTTAAAAAACAAATCGTTATCTGCTTTTTCATTTTGGTTTTGGAGACAAATGATGAAGAAAACTGTTGTTTTTTTGTCCTCTTATTTTTGGTTTTATTTTGAAAAAACAATGAAAGAATGATACACGGATTCTCAAGTTATGTTTTTGACAAGGTAACATTATAACATGGCTTAAAGCTCACAAGAATTCATTTTGCGTAATGTAGGACCTTTAAACTAAATTCCTGTAGTCCCACAGAGTTTGCGATGTTTTTCATGTGTCACTCATCAACATCGTCATGGAGTTTTATCTTTTTTTGCAGAAAAGGAAGAAGAAACAGTGAAGGAAACTCGAGTAGTCTGAAGTCTAAGATGTACACTGTGGGCCTGTCCATGGGGGTGATCACTATGGCGGCCGCAGGAGTGAATCCGCTGCTTGTTCCCGTTGCGCTGGCAGCAATGGGAGCCGGATATGCCACCAAAGAAGTAATGAAAAAACTGTGAAGAACTGCTCAACTGTTTCAGCACAATATAACCTTTTCTAATAAGAATAAACACCATTCACGAAGCAACAGCACAGCATGAATCCTAAAGTCTGATGAAGAGGATTGCTAATAATAATCATAATAATAATGGACATTTGTCATGTTTTGGGTGTGGGTGTTTTGTTTCATTTGTTTGATAATTTCAGACTCACTGTGTGTTTAGCAAGTGACCACATAAGCTTTATTTCCTGATAAAGAATAATTTACCTCAATATAATGTGATGTAGAACGTAATAGGACTGTGACACAATTCACTCAGTGTGAGACATAAGATTGGGTTCACAAGGACGAGAAAGAAGAGATGTTTTCATAATTATAATAAAAATATTGTGTGCAATCTAGTTCAGTTTTTGTTTATTTTATTTAATACTTTTGCTTTCATTGCCCAACCTTTTTGAACAGCTTTTCCTAAGATGCATTTTTGTCCAAGTAAAATGTAAAAACATGGAAAAAAGACAAAAAATTACAAAATCATATTGCGCGTGTGCAAACTTGTAGCAATTTTATCTCATATACCTTGTGCTACGAGATCTTGTAATATTAGTATTTACTGATATTGCTTTAAAATATATCACTCATATCTTTAGGCATTTTTTGTCATAATAACATGAAAATTGGCACTGCGCACACCTGTTTCATTGGGTTGACATGCTCTGAATTTGAGATTGGTTGGTTGAAAGGTTCAAGAGTTATGTGTAGAAAAAACAAACAAACACACAGACAGACGTTCCTTGAATTAATATAGATGTTCCACAGTATTATATTTAACTGATCTCAATACTGGTGCAAAAGTGCATTGTTAAAACAAAACCTAAAAAAATGCCTTCTTACTCTCTGAATCTCTCTCTTTGCCAAAAATGTTTTAAGATGCACAAAAAGCAAATCAGCTCACCTTTTGTAGATTCAACTAAACCACTTCTTTCTGGTCAGAATGTGCTAAAATAAAGCTCAGATTAAAGTCTAACTGGAGCTTATAGAGCTTCTGACTACGTTTACACTGAAATGAAACCGCGTATCATTGTATCAGCAGTATTGTGCAAGTTCACACTTTTCAGGTGAGATATGTAAATGAAAGGCTGAACTTATTTTTCAAACTTACTTCTGACTAAACTGTGCCAGACCTGAAACATGGGACTGTGAGGCCGCAACTCCAGTGTTTGCGCTGTTTTCTTACGCTAAGCACAACAACCTGCATTCAGTTTGTTGATTAAAAATGAACATGATTGATGAAATTGTTAACGATCGATTGACAGTTACAAAAATTATTTGTTTGCAGAGTTTGCCTCAAAAGTTTGTGTAACAAAATATTAAGTTAAAGGTGTTAAATGATTCTGTTGAACCGCAGGGGAAAAGCAATGGATAATTTGATTTGATTGGACAGTTTTCAATACATTGTTTTTTATCAGTTTCAAGTTATTTCAGTGATGGTTGTTGATTTTTCTTTCATTGCCAGAGGGGTACCAACAATTTTGTCCATGTCTGTATATACGCAATGTCTTATATTATATGTGGACGCTGACCACTTATTTTAAAACTTCTGACCCTGCTCCAATTGAGTTTGAGACCCCTGGACTAGAGGGCAACTTTCTCCCTAAATTCTAAATATTATTATGTGCATGTGGAATTATGCCTGCAAATAGTAAACACACTCAACCCTTTAGCATTCATCACCAATGACGTCAAAATGAAGTAGCATCAGCCACTGAACTGTACAGTAGTTATTTTAAAACCAATGATAGGATGAGCAACTGACAAATCACTAATAGAATAAAAATTGAAAAAAACACACCAATATATACTTATATAATAATATATATGATGTATTATGTCATATGTATTTTACATACAACACACAGATTTCCAACACATAATAATGTAGATGATAATAGATGCTGAACTAACCCTAACAGATGGATAGTGCTGCATTTTTTGTGTTAAATCAATAATAGTATTGTTTTATTAATAATGAATAAAATAGTTAATTTCTAACAGTGGTAAGCTCCTGAAGCTTCATTGTGACAGTGAAAGAGCACAGAGATCCAGCCACCCAAAAGGAGCGGCCGTAGTGGAGCAGCAGTGGAGGGGGCTCAGGCGTCAACATTGCTAAGGCACCTCCAAACATTACCCTTTACAAGCATTAATAAAAGTAATGACTAAAAATATTTGAAATGTGTGCTTTGGCCTTTATTTAGTACTTATTCATGTTTTATTGTTTTTTTTCACATTGTTTAATTCACATGCCAGTCATATAGCATACTGCAGTGGCTTGTTTTTTATATGCAGAAATAGGTAAAGGAATATACAAAAAATAATATAATACATGATAAAAGAAATTTTAAAAAGTAAAATGGGAATGTGAATGTTCACTTTTCCCCCTCTAAACTGTAATTTATTGCCTGTTGGAATCAAATGTGATGAGAAAGAGAAAGATACAACTGAACAATATATGTTATATACTAATATTGCAAATAATCAATAATCATAAAAATAAAAATATAATACATAGTTCTCCATATGAAAAGAAATGAGTTTTTTGATGCGTAGATGTGAAAATAGCAGATTTTATTCACAATTTTCTTATTGTGTTCTCCTATAACCCAGTTTGGTCTTAGTAGTTTAAGTTTTAATTTTACTCAACTTACTGAGTTGAAATGTAAATATTGCAATGATATAGTTTGCGTTACAACATGTAGTTATCGAATATCTTTATCTCATATCATACGACCCTCATTAAATGTATCAGACTACACATTGCATTCATGTTTACTCTGTGTGAGGCTGCATGATAGTTTGGTGGTCATAATTGGTGGTCATAATTTCGTGGACAAAATTGTTGGCACCCCTCTGGTAATGAAAGAAAAATCAACAATGGTCACTGAACTAACTTGTTCGACAAAATTGTTAACAATCGTTTAGGGCGTTTCCACAATGCTAGTTCGATTATCTGGTCTACACCAGGCAAGAAATTATTTTTATGTAGCATATAGACTCCATGTTCAAGTTCTTGATTTACAAATGTGTTGCGTTCAGTTCACAGTTCTTCCATACAGAGAGTACGTTAGCATCATATCCCCAGGGAATGTTGACGACATCAGCTGTAAAGTATCAGTTTCACATTAAAGATGGCGAAGACTCTTCCAGAAACGTTACATACTGCATCTTTAGGGTTCAGGCTGTAGCCTGAAGTGACCCTAGTCCGATTTTTTTGGCCCTTTGCGACCTGTGTCAGATCTTTTAATGACAGATCTGATTTTTTAAAATGCGACCCAGGTCACTTGGATATGTGCTCCTAAAACCGACACATGTCAGATCTTTTGACATGAGACTTCAGTCTGAAAGGCCAGGTAGCATTCATCCCACCTACACATCAGGCTTCAAGCCTAGTCAATGGAGGGAAAGTAAGATTAGTGAGTTTATTAATATTTGGGGGGATCTCTGTATTCAGGCCGAATTGGAGGGTCTTATCGGAACTGAGTGGTTTTTGAAATGATTGCCAAAGAAATGGCCGAGCGCGACCACAGGCGGTCCTCGCTCCAATATCAACAAAATATAAAGAACCTGAGGGCCAAATACAAGGAGGCTAAAGACTCCAACAAATGAAGTGTCCGTGGTGTATAACCTGTACATTTTACAAAGAACTGGACCATATTTGGGAGACGATCCCAGTGCTTAGGCGACTTCCGTAAACACTGATCATGCTCGCTCTGTGTGACGCCATTGTGTCCTCCAGTGCGCATGTGGGACACTTAGGGGGCATTTAAAGTTCACACTGGAGTTCACATACAATTCGCGTTTAAATAGAAATGTGAATGACCTTGCAAAAAATCAGATTTCACAAAAAAAAAAAAAAAAAATCCAAATTGAGCATTAAGCCCTGCAGTCTGAAGGTAGTCTTAGTTAGTATCTGTATATCTGCACAGTGACTTGGTTGAGCATGTTCTAAGTGAAATCAGTGAAACGGCTCCTCTGCCACATGCCACAGCCTGATGGCCTCTCAGCAGCTCCTGGTTCTCCTCTCGGTTGCAATTTGAGTTTGATTGATCGTTCATAAAACATACATGACCCTCATGAATTATTGTGAGAGAACATCCAATAAATTGTTTTAGATGGCTTATTACAACAATGCAACCAGACTGGCATATTAAATTATTTGCAATCCTGTAAATCATAGAATCAATTTGAAAATAATCCCATTAAAAGACATCATGGTGACATTTCTCACTTTCCCCAGGACTGAACCAACTCCAGCCACAGCACTCTTTAATCAGGCGGGATTTTTGTCATCAATCACAATATATTAGAACGTTAATAAGACACGAGCTCAAAGTGGAGAAGGGAGGTATGAAGGAGTCTGCAGTCAGGGGTAAAGGAGTTTGGAAATGTAATCGCAAATGGGAATATGAGAGACAATTGCTTAGTTTATTATTTAAGTGTACAAAAAGTCACAAAAAAATAACAGTGCATTTGCCTATATAATTGCTGTTAAAGAAAAAGTATGCAGATTTTTGGTGATAGGTCCACCTCTTACTTGTTTCCATGGACATATTATTGGAGGCTCTATGTCCAAAATTTTGGACATAGGGCCTCATTTCCTACTTAGCCAGAGTGTTGGAGACGTGTGGAGACACTTTTTAAAATATTCCATCCAGTCCTTGTATGACACTAAAAACAGTCTTACCCATTTCACAAAGCACCCGAAGCAAAACAATTATTACACCAGACTGTTGATGTCGAATATCTGTATCAAAAGAATAATTTTAGAAGTAAAACCAACCTTGCATTTGAAGGATTTATGTCTAAACAGCAGTGAGTTGTACTTTCTGATAGAAAGCTTGGCAGCGGCGGACTGATTTATGAGAAAATAGTCCCTCATCATGCGACGATTCATGAGATGCAAGGTTAGTTTTATTTCAGACATTATTGTATCAACACAGATATTTACATTGACAGTCTGGCGTAATAATTGTTTTGCCTCGGGTGTTTTGTGGAGTGGGTAAGACTGTTTTTAGTGGCAGGCTAACTATGGCCATTGACATGCACTAGCCTAGCACCAGCGACCTCTGCAAATACAAGGACTGGATGGAATATTTAAAAAATGTCTCCACACGTCTCCAACACTCTGGCTAACAAGGAAATGAGGTCCTATGTCCAAAATTCCGGACTATCCCTTTAAACTTATATTTCTTTTTTCTTCCACCAGGTCAGCAGTGTTGAGGTGATCACGCTCATATTAATATTTTATTCATTCAAAATTTATGCAAGTATTTTTGAGCAATAAAAACACCCCAATGAAATACATGATAGATAGGTTTAATGCCACTGTGGGACATTCCAGACGAAG